CACCATTTGACACTATCACTGGTCTTGATACCACATAAAGATATGAGTTAAAAGCTATAATACTAGTGCAATGGTTGAAGTTCGAGAGGAATACCCCCAAAATAAATGGTGAATCTAGTTTTGGTTGACTGCATGCTGTAATATTGCTACGACGTTGTTCGCTGGAATTTGTGTTTATATCTCACCATAAGTTTTACACCCATGCTATCTTTTTTTTTTTTGTTATTTCAGTAGTCTTAACTCAAAAGCAAATCAAAGTCCTTAAAGTCGTCATCTGAAGTTAGTCTTTTAACTCGACATCTGCATTTAGTCTTTTAACTCAAGATCTTGCAACTTAAGATACATATCTCTGTGAAAATATGATATGTGGTTCTTACCATTTTATTATTTAAATGCGATAGTGTTGACATGTATATATTTGCATATGTTACCATTTACTATTGTAGAGATACAATAGCTAACCCCAATCAGTGGGTTTAAAAAAATTAATTAACGTAATTGCCCGATTAACATACCAGAATGGAATGAATCAATCAAAGGTTTGAGTAGATGTAAAATAATCTAAACGGTCAAATTACCAAAAAAATAACATTAATTATAATAAATGATTGACTCACATTGAATCTCATTATTATCATAAACTATCGAGTTCTGATATAATTAGATATATATATATATATATATATATATATATATATATACTAGAAGCGTACTCGTGCCATGCATCGAAACGCATTCCGATCTCACCGTTTCATTTTATTCTTTATTTACATCGATATAATAAAGTTTTATGTGGTTTTGAGAAAACGATAATATTTTTATTTTTGAATAAAATATCATAAAATTTTGAAAAAACTATATCGATAGTAGTATCAAATTAACTATTTAAAAGTTTTTTTTTTGTGTAATTTCTTTAATTCAATTTTTTTATTATAATTTAATTTAACGTAACGAATTAATTAAATTTTGGTTTAATTATATAATTCTTTTTAAAGATAATAGTAAATTATTTTGTTAAAACTTAATGATTATCTTAATTATGTTTTAAATTTTTTATATTTAAAATGAGATGTTTATCTCGTATTTAATTATGTTTATCTGCAGTTAGTTACACAAATTCAAACATGGAGTCTTAATAAGTTGTACTTACGCACAATTTACTTGTAATATTAAATTTTAAGTAATATGCATTAATAAACAGTTCTTCGTGCATAAAAAATTAAATAGTTTTTAAGAATTTTTGTCAAATGCTCTATAATATAGTATAAATATATATATAGATACATATATATATATATATAAACTATGGAATGGTTATAATATAACCAATCAATGAAGGTATTATAACATTCTTGAAATTTACATAATTCAAGTTATTTAGATTAGACATAGAAATATTTTGTGTTTATATATATGTATATAATGGTTTCATCTGTTTGGCCACCAAGCCAAGGTAATGGAACTTTAAAGATAACATATACCCACTATTACCGGTGTAAATAGAGAGATGGTGACATGGCAAAAGCCAAGAAATTGAATAAACAGCCGGCTACTTGTTGCTTTACATGGCTGCATTATGCATATATGCATGCATTTTTTAGTACTACATAGGATCTTGCAATCTTCCTATTTATATATTTACTAAACTAAATTGATGTGTATATCACTCCTGTCCTGTGCTATCTTTATTTGAGATTCACATGATACATACCGACATTTTTTTGTATATATATAATCTTAATCATTGATTTCATGATCGATGGTTGCAATTAATAATTTATCATTAATTCAATTATTAAGATGGAGGTTGTATGGTGAATAAGCAGAGAGATGATTGTAGACCTGATCATCATTAGTTTTGGATTATAACAACATTATCATATCGTTGTCACAATAAAATCACATAATTTATTATATGATTATCACAACAAAATCACACCATAAATAAAGTTCAACTTATTAAAGCATTATCAAATTTATCACAGCAAAATCACATCAGAAAAAATCATATGATAAGTGATCATAGCATTTCATTTGGTCAAGATTTGCAACTTTGATTATGAAGAACAGAATAATTCCTCTCATGGCATGCAAAAGATAGATGGATAGTTTTGTAACTTTTATAAAATATTAATTAAATAATTAATGTAATATCATCCGAGGGTACTTGTGTATGTATTGGTTTGTATTAATATCAGCAAATTATATTAAACAGACCAATAAATTCCTCTCAAGCAATAGACAAAAAAAGAAATTGGAATAATGCATGTTTCCAAATTTCAATTATGAACTATTAGACTATATATGTATGTAGGGCTAAGATCAAATGTTAATCATCATTTTTGTGTTAACCTTATTAACTGATCTAGGTCATTCAAATCTATAATCAACGGTTAAGATTAATCAATAAAAAAAATTAAATTTTAAAGTTTGAATTTTAATGAGGTCTAGTGAACAATGATGAAAGGGGCATTTTGGGAAGAAAAAAAATACACTTATCAAGGGTATTCTAGTAAATTGAATTAATTTGTAACCCCCAAACAATTAATGGGGAGTTATAAACAATCAAATCCCAAAAAATATGCATTCATATTATTATTATTTTTTTACTATTGATCTTTCATGTTCATTCTTGTATGAATTTTTAAATCGCATAAGAAACACGATAGTAACAATTTTCGATATTGATCAATTTGAACACAAATGAACCGTGAACACAATTTGAACAAAAATGAACAACCGTGAACACAATTTGAACACAAATGAACCGTGAACACGATATGAATACAAATGAACCGTGAGCACGATATGAACACGATATGAACACAAATGAACACGATATGTGTAATTTTTGACCCATATATTCACATACATAGACGTCCCACAAAATTAAGGTAGCATCTGTTAATTTGTGTTCATCTGTTAATTTGTTCAAATTGTGTTCACGGTTCATTTGTGTTCATCTGTTAATTTGTTCAAATTGTGTTCACGGTTCATTTGTGTTCAAATTGTGTTCACGGTTCATTTGTGTTCAAATTGTGTTCACGGTTATTCATTTGTGTTCATATTGATCAATACCGAAAATCGTTACTACCGTGTTTCTTATGCGATTTAGGAATTCATACAAGAATGAACATGGAAGATCAATAGTAAAAAAAATTAATAATATGAATGCATATTTTTTGGGATTTGATTGTTTGTAACTCCCCATTAATTGTTTGGGGTTACAAATAAATTCAATTTACTAGAATACCCTTGTAAGGGTAAAATGAACAAGACATAAACCTATAAGAATAATGGAATTTGATTGGTTGAGAGGGTTTTCAAAGTTACACAAAAATGATGGTTAACATTTGATCTTCTCTCTATGTATCTATATATCTATATATATATATATATCAACCCAAAATATTCGCATCATCTTGTATTTTAATACATAACTATAGATCATATGAATCTTTTATAAGATAATATAGTTTTATTATGTTTAAAAACGTAGATTTAAACTTGTAAACTTATTTGCCTATATTTCAGATATAGTGATTAAAGAAAACACAACACATGATCCTACACTAATTATATTACATGAAAACATAACGGGTAACCAAAAAAAAAAAAAAAATGAACTGATCAAAGGTCGGTTTAATTAAGAATAACAATGATAGAAAGAGTCGACATCAAAGGATCAAAAATAAGCATGGCAGTTAACGTCTGANAACTATAGATCATATGAATCTTTTATAAGATAATATAGTTTTATTATGTTTAAAAACGTAGATTTAAACTTGTAAACTTATTTGCCTATATTTCATTTACATTTATTAAAGAAAAAACTACACATGATCCTACACTAATTATATTACATGAAAACAATCTTGAAAAAAAAAAAAAAAAAAAATACAAGAATGAACTGATCAAAGGTCGGTTTAATTAAGAATAACAATGATAGAAAGAGTCGACATCAAAGGATCAAAAATAAGCATGGCAGTTAACGTCTGACTGTTAATGAAACTATCTCAAATATTATTAGACATTTTAAATATCTGAATAATATTAAAATATTTTATTAAATCATGTAGCAATTTCAAGTTAATATTGTGATATTTTGAAATAAAACAAGTAATATGTTTTTTTTAATTAAATATTTATGTATTTAATTTAAAAGTGCATTTGAATTTATAAAAGCAGTACAAGGACAACGTGAGGGAGTTTTCCTCTCCCACCGACGATGCTTCACCGGCTTGTACTGTAAGCTTACGCATTTGTAAGTTTTCATCTTTTCATTATTGACAACAAACACCCAACCGCCATCTGTTTCTATCGAAATCTTTTTCCAAAATCTCCCACGTGAACACATAATTAACCTTCACCCCCTCCTACTTTCACTTTTTCTTTATTTACCCCTCTTCTTTTTCCCTTTCATCAAATCCGATACAAAAAAAAAAAAAAGTATTCGTGAGCTGTTCCTGATACCCATGATTAAGAAAAAGGTAATTGTTACATCTTCTTGTAAAGATATGATTATTTAGGAGTTGTTTGTTTATATCTTAATAGTTTTATTAAAATACAACATCTGAATCATTAAGAAATTAATATTGTTTGACGAAAAAAAAGTCAGCATTTTAATAATTCTAAAACCTTCTGAATGATTTTGTATCTTGAACAACGCTCTAATTTCATTATAAACAATTACCAAACAATTATATTTTATTTTATATTATAACATAAAAGTATTTTAATTATTCTGATTATTTAATTATGCATTAAATTATTAACGAAGTTAATGGATATGAACATAACATAAGTTGTCCAAAAGTTTTTAATGAAATTGTGAAGAGTTGACCCTACTTTTCATTTGTCGGTACTCCTTCCTGCCAAACTTGGGGGGAAGAAAAAGGAAGATCGCTAACCCTATGTCACATAGAAACCAACACATTTAAGTCTCAGTTTCACATACAGACGAGATTAGAAGAACTTCCCACTTCTAGAAAACAGACAAGAATCGGAATCTGGAATTTTGGTAGAGCTAGAACGATGGCATTGGCCGGAAAAATTAAGAAGAACGGTGGCGGCGCCGGCGGTGGTGAAGGATGGGGGACGGGTATTTTCTTGGTTTTCTTCCCGGAAGAAGATGAACAAGAATTGACTTCTTCGTCGTCGTCGTCACCGTTCAAATTTCCTACGATTAATTCTCTCTTGAAACGTACGAATTCCAGTCATATTCTCACCAGAACTCAATCCACCATCTCCATCTGTGCTCTACTCATCTTCCTCACCTGTCTCTTCTTCACCCTCTCTACTTTCGAACCAAACAACAATTTCACCCCCTCTCGCCGTCACTCTAATTCACCCAGATCATATACACCTGCCTTGCAAGGATTGGGCACGCTGTATACACGAGGAACGACGGCCATGGACAACCTCCTTCTCTGCCACGTTACGGAGTCGGTGACAACCAAACAACTTAAAGTGTTCTTACGAGCCTTTCACAGGTCTGGGTTACCTTTAAATTCTGACCTTTTGTTTATATTCGATTCAGCTTTGACACTCGAGTCTTTCGATAACGTGATTCTGGAAGAGAATGACATCTTCCTGAAGGTCGTCTGCCGGTACCAAGCAGAATTGTGCAACGGCAGTAAAGTTTTGGATTTTCCGGCGAGTTTCAACCTGAATCAGTTCCTGAAATCCGGCAAGAAGGTGGTGGAGAAAGGAGAGCCAATATGGGGTTGGAAAATTAAGAACAATAATTCGAGTTTACTTCGTTGTGGTGGTGGTGAGACTGAGTCAACTCGGATAAGCTATGGATCGGTTGTCGGTTTTGGCGTGGGCGAGGTTGACCCAGAAAACTCGTTATCCGGGTTTATGGACCAAATCCCGATGTCTCTGAGAAGGTGGGCTTCTTACCCAATGATATTGGGGCGGGTCCGTCGAAATTTTAAACACGTGATGTTAGTTGACGTAAAGAAAGTTTTGCTACTTGGAGACCCACTCGGCCGAGTCAGAACCAAGAGTCCTGAGTCAGTCTTTTTGTCATCAACACCACCACGTGCAACCAAACACGGGCATAAGGGCTCTGAGGATACCCATCAGAAAACAATCAATTCAGCCGTCATAATGGGCGGAGTTCGCGGTATACGGCGGTTGTCTGCCGTCATGTTGACGGAGATCGTCCGAGCAACCACGAATCAACAACACAATAAAAGGAAGAATTCAGTTACGGAGTCGGGTCTGCTGAGTCGTCTGGCCACCAATGAGTTCGCACTCAAGAGCATACATGTGTCGATGTCAATCGAGTCAATACCGACAGCAAGCTCAGTTAGTGAGTCAACAATCAGAAATCAGACAATCGTATGGGTTGAACATAGTGATTATAAAGATATAGAATCAGCTATTATGAAGCATATTTGTTCGTTTTTAATAGATTCAGCTGTCTACAGGGATTGTTGACTGCTTTGAATAATATATTGTAAAAAGGTAGAAAGTGAATTAGAATTTTTGCAATGGATGTATGTATTTTAATAAGAGAATGAGAAATATTGAGCAAATGAGACGTGCTCTTCCATTCATTGGTTAGGAGTTCATTGGCGTATACGTTCCTTCCCCTTAAAATTATTCTTTTTAATGAATATGATTATTAATTAAATTTCAACTTTTTGATATTATAGGTTTTTTTTATATATCTATACTATATTATAAAGCATTTGGCTAAAACTCTTAAAAACTCTTAAACTCTTAAAACTCTTAAACTCTTAAAAACTCTTAAATCCGTTCATCTCTATCCGATTTCATCC